ATAATATTAGGGGTCAAAATATAATTTGGAAAGTTGTTAGAAGGACGTTAAGTGGTAAGTTAAAGTATTAAAGTTTGTTGGAAAAAAATATATATTAAGTGGTGTTGCAACAAAATTTTGATTTTTGACTATGATATATATATATATATATATATATATATATATATATATATATATATACAAATATATATATTAAAATGTAATTTTTGGATTTTATGGTATTTACGGAACTATCATTACATGGCAACCACCTTCAACCAGCTTGTTGTCTAGGCTGGGGCTTCTCCACCTCTCCTTATCCATCTAGAATGCTTGAGGAGGTGGTGAAGGCTTTAGCTGAGGCTTGAATATGTGAGGCTTGGATATGTTAGAATCATCAAGAAGAGAGAGAAAAAGAGGACAGAAGTTAGAGAGAGAAAGCAAAAGCTTGGAAAGCCAAACTTCGGGAGAGGTTTATTCGAGCTACAAGCGGTATACTTCTTCCATAATTAGGACCCTAGGTGTTCATATTTGGTGTTTAAATCATGTTTCATACACTGTAGAAGCCTGAATTCATGTTTTGAATTTTCAGATTTTAATGGATTTTGAAATGGGTTTGATTTTCTATTGAGTTTTGGTTTGAGTCTTGGTTTGTAGATGATTATAGATGTATAAAATGAAGTATGGTGGTGGTTTGAAGGGTTGTGGTAGTTCAAAGAAGATGAAGTTCATGGTCAGAGTTTGAGTTTCTTGAAAATTAAAGTTTTGAATCTTAAGTTTTAAAAACATGAGGGGCATTGGGTTAGACTAAAACCAACCCTAGAAATCCATTGATGACCTTAGAAATTGATTTAGAGTTCGTTTGGTGGGTGAAAAATTCAGTTGTAGTTCTAACCCGAGTTGAAAGGCCTTATTTTTTTTTCAAACTTTTGGTTCAATCTTGGGATATGTTAGAGTTTGATTTGAAGGGGCTCACCTATGGGAATCTAAAGAGGGCCATGAGGAGATTAAATAAGCTCTAAAAACAGATCTAAAGGTGTTATGTGGAGTGAGTTAGAGGGGTGAGAAGAGGAGGTCTTAAAACAGAATTTTGCCAATTGAGATTTTTGAGGAAGAAGATGAAGCGGACGAAGAGGACCACTGGACACCCCGACAATGAGTGAGAGCGCATCTGGTGTCCAATTGACTTCTATTTGATTCCAAAAGTTCTATAACGTCCGTGCGGAAGTCTCATTAAAATTTCAAGTCGATCTGACGGCCAGATCAAAATGAGGATTAAAATGACTATTTTGGCTTTCGGGGCCAATTTGACCCAATTTTTGGGTGATTTTTGAAAAATAAATTTTATATTCATACTTAGGTATGTTTATTGAGTATATGTATGAAATTTCATTGAAGTATGAAATTTCATTGAAAAATAACATCATTTATTTTTGGCTGTTTTGGATCAAAAAGAAGTATAGGGTAGAAATTCTCAATTCCAGATCAGTCGAACCTTTTCAAATTCATTTTAAAATCATGTCTTACATTATTTATGAATGTTTTGGCATATTTTAAAACTTATGATTGGATTTTTGAATTTGGGCTAAAAATCAAATATTCGAATTAGGATTTTGAGTGCGGTAATTCACAGTAGTCCGAAACGATGAGATTGACTGTATAAAATAAGATACCGGAATCCTTTTAAACTAATTGTAAGTGCACATAAGTTGAGTGACAAAAAGAGTTTACATTCTAGTTTGAGGTTGTAGAGGATACTCATTGAGTTCGCAAACGCTTGAGTGACCAGTTGATCTCCGGACTTGGGTACTAAAGTTAAGTTGTGGTGCATACAAAAAGTCACAAAGCATATTCATATGCATTTATTTGTATAAATTAAGTTATTTTTGAGTCGATACTTATTTGCATTTGTGCATATGTAAATTGTTAGGGTTGGAGGCTACATTAGTTTCACCTAGGGATCGAGCATAAATTAGAATTGTGTGTTGGTTGGCTGTAACAGGTGAAGTGTACTACTTCATAATAATTGAAAATAAAAGTATACGACTATTATGAGTTATTTCACTATATGAAATGAAGTTTTGATGACTTAATTTATGTTGAATTGAGCAAATAATGGATCAAATATGTTTTGTTGAAAAGTTTGTCATTTATTGAAAAGTTTGTGGTTTGTTAAAAAGCTTGTGATTTGAGTAGTATTCACTAAACTAGAGTTGTTGATAGCTTGACATAACTTATATATTGTTGATTTGGACACTGTGCAGTTGTCATGAGACAGCTTAACATTGCTTAAACGTTGTAGATAGCTTAACATTATTTAAATATTATTGATAGCTTGTCATTGTTTAAATGTTATTGTTGACTCATATCACATGTGAACTATTTATTATGTTGATATTTTGGTAGTGATTATGAGATTTCAAAGTAAGTTGAAAACACTTTGATTTTGTCGTTCTTCTTAGATTGTGAACATATATTTGATGAAATAATATTTGATCCATATTTTGAATATTTTCATTTATTATGATGCGCAGTACACACAAGAACATATATGTTTTCAGGAAGTCGAAGTTTAGAGTTGGGTCTACTACAACACTAGCAAAGTCTAGATGGCAGGTTAAGGAAACCAATTGTGTACATATTATACAGACGTATCGTTTCCTTGTTGATGTAAAGGATGAATTTCCTAATGCTTTGTGTTGCAGTAAGTTAGAGAGTTGTGTACTTTGGCATAGAGTTATATGGTTTATCTCCTTTATGAGATCATTGGTTGGTATTATTGGTTTTAAATGCTTTCTGGAATTACAAACACAGGTATTACTACGTATCGAGCTATACTTCCATCTTTTGAATATCAAATAGATCTCTCGGAATAGGGTGTGACACATTGGACATTTAAAAGAGGTTGAAATTTCACTATTAAAGATTTGAATATAGATTTGAGGGGAAAAAAAAAAGTCTCCCTTCATTTGATATAGATATGAGTCTAACATTGAAGAATGTTTTTAGAAAATTTGTACCCTAATTTAAATTTGGGTTTGAAAAAAGATATGGACTAGAGATAATCTTAGCATTTCTGCCTCTCTACTCTCACTCAATTTTTTTATTTTAAAGAGTCAATCATCAAAATTTTGTCTCCAATAGGTTGTCAATTTAAAGTAGCTAAAATAGATAGTTCAATTTGACTTTATACATTTAGAGAGTGAAATCCACTCTTTACTTTATAATTAATGAATAAAAATGTCAAATAAATACTTCAATTTGACTTTCTAGTATAGTATCAAAATAGCCTCCACTCTCTATTTGAACTTTTCGTCAAAGATATTATGTATTTTAGAGAAGATACTCTGGATTATTGGAGATGTTCTTTATGTATTTATATTTTATCTCTCCATATTTCTTTTTTGTTGATTTTTATCACATCACTTATTTTTAGCATAATTTGAATTATTTAATTTTTGATTAATCTGTAGCTTAATCCAATTTTTATTTTGATTATTATTCACATACGATAATGAACACATGTTAGATTTTTTTTTAGGTCATGTATTTTAAAAAAAATTGTTGTTTTTATTTTGAAAAATCATGGATAAAAGTTAATTTTAAATTATGTCATTAAAGAAAATAAATGAAAGAAATTATTATTTAAAATAGTGGGATCATCTTTTAAATGCTCAAATTTTATATTATATTATATCTTTGGGTTATAAATAATACAAATATATTCTTCTAATTCTGAATGCAAGCAATTGTGATCAGGATGGGTAATATCATATCGTAGTATTTCGTGTTTTTATCGTCTAATAATTTATATAATAAAGTATAAAGAGTTTAAAAACTTCAAAATTATAAAATCATTCAAACATTTCAAGTCATTTTAAGATTGTTAGTCCGAAGATTTTAATTGATTTCCAATTTTTTTTTTTTACCCAAAAAAAATTAGATTAAGAGTTTCCTTCCATTCTCAGGAGACCCTCGTCTCTGTTCTGCCTCTCTGTCTCACAGACATACGGCTGACGCCAAGTCCCATCTCTCTTCTTCCCCCTCTCTCTCTTTTTGAATTACGCCTCTTCACCCATTAACTGCCTCAGCTCTCGCAATTTCTCACAAATCTTTGCCATCCTCCTCAGTTTCTCATCTCTCACTCTCTCTTTCTTTGTGTGCAGACTCCGACTATGGACAGACCTCTTCGGCGACGCACGACACAATCTAAAGACCCACTGGACCGACCCACTCTGGCCACCCACTCTCTTCCATCCAGATTGTACCGGCGGTGATCTAACCTCCGAGAGCACTCTTACTGGTAATCTCTCCAGTCCATCCCTCTCGTTCCTCTTCTTGGAATTTCTCTTTAGCCATAGGCTCAGAAGTTGATTTCTGGCAGCTCCTCGTCGTCGATGAGGTACTATTATATGTTTGGTTGTTTGATTTTGATTTTTTACTTATTTCTTTCTAACCACTGCTTATGTTGTAATATTGTGTTCATCACTTCCTGCATATTCTATGCCCTTCTCCCCTTCCTCTTCCCCTTCTCTGCCCTAATCTCACGTCCCTCTTTTTTATCTATCCCTCTCTTCTCCCTCATCACACTCCGCACCCTCTTTACATCATCACAGCCACGCCACCAGCAACAGCCACCAACAGCCACGATGACTTTGACTCACCGCCGTCGACGCTACCCAGGTATGTCTCCATCTCTCTATTTATCTCCTCTGCCGCTCTGCCTCAGCGGCTTCGTTGATTAACCCAGCCACCTCTCTGATTGTAATTGTATAAAACCTAGGATTTTATTGTTCTGATTAGGGCAAGCTTGATGGAATTGACCCAGTTTTTAATTTCTCTGTTTGGAATCGGTAATCTATTCTTGGTTATGTGGAGTTATCACCTTAGTTTGGAATTTTTATATTTTATTTAATTTAATTTCATGCTGTTTTGATTGAGTTTTGAATTGTAAAAATTTTGATTTTTCTCGGTAGGTTTCTATGAAACGCAACATATACAACAAATGTGAATCTCAAACTATTCCAGCGTTGAAACATGACGAGGTTAGTGATTTTGTTAATTCCTTTTCTTTTGCCTCTCTTATTTATTTCTTAACAGGATAATAATGTTATTTCACAAAGGATTTGTGAATTATGTTGATCGCTAAAGTATTAGACTTATCTGATCAACTTAGGATTTAGGATTTTTGCTCTGTTTGTTTACGAAAAAATATAGCTTATTCTGCAGTGTGCATTGCTGATTGAGACTTTCACTTTGGTTTGCTTTCTTTAATATGACATTGATTGGCATTGGGCGAAATAGAGGTATTCTTTGTATTTTGCTCTCTTATTCAATACAATGGTTTAACATTTCTCAAGTAGCTATTCGAGGATCGACACTCAGCAAATCTCTCACATGGGCATGCCTTCAACTCTCGATGCTCTGATGCACTTATTCGTCATTTTGCATTATTATAAACTCTAAGATCAGGCAAGGAATTCATTCTCAATCTAACTATTAACTATTGTTTCTTTGAAATTTTTTTAGTGGGTAAAAATTAGAGACGAGAAATATTTTAATTTCTATGCAACTAACCGTTGGTTGTAATGTTACTACCGTACCTAAATTCATAGATTATCCCTCTTTTTGAGGTAAGTATTGTGGGTTATCCTTTTTCTGCCTGGGTATTGATTTTTTTTTTTTCTGGGTTTGCTTGGGTAATATTCTCCATGGTGGGTTTCACTGTTATCGTTGGCGTGTTTTGCTGCATTACTTTGTGGTTTTTTTTACAATGGCTTAAGCAAATTCAGTCTTTAGTGTTCACTTGGCTATAAATTAAGCAACTAATGTTCTGTCGTAATTTACTATGCTTTTGTACTTTTTAGTGGGTTTTTGTCTTCAGTCTCACTAAATGCAGTGTTTATATTAAAAAGTTGCTCCACTGAGTAAAAAGTCCATTTTCTCATTGCCAAGTTATTGATTGTGTTGCCAATAGTTTCAGAACTACTATTTCCTGCACACTAGCATTTTTTGTGGATATTTCTTGCACACCGGCATAGTTGCAGGCTTTCTTTTGGTAGTGGGACTCTTCAAGTGTTCTTGTTTGAATGAAGGGTTATCATCAATTTGGGTAATTTTCTGTTTGCATCATGTACTGTATAATTTTTCTTTTTCATCAAGCAAAAGAATGCACGTCAACCACAACCACTACCATAGACCCACCCTAACTTGGTCATAATGCATGTCAACTATTCGTTGGATTGCTTGAACAATTTCGTTGTGAATCGTCAACCTCTTAGGATAATTTTTTTGATCTTTTTGTGCATATTATGTGAATTTGCCTATGGCTTCTACGGGTTTTGTTTCTTAATGTTAAGAATTATATTGTTGGCTATACCTTAGTATTTGGTATGGTAATTTATTTATTCATTCAAACTGTCATGGAAATATTTTTTGTTTGTGCAGACGCCATGTTCTATAATTTTGTCAAATGAATGCATGATAAACATCTCAATGATGCCACATAATGCTCTTTGAAGGTAACTTCTCTTCCTTTCTATTGTTGATCTTTCAGCTATGTATTTTATATGCATTTTGTCATTCATAAAGATAGGCTCCTGATAGTTATGGCCATTTGTTAATGACATTTTCAATTTTGTTTTTCTCCTACTCCTTAAATCTATGTATAAAGGCACCATTGTAGAATTTGAAAGCTACAACTGAGCAAGCCTTATGATATTTATGGTCATTGGATTTCCTGATTTATTGACTTTTCACATCCGTTTGACAGAATGCATTTAAGTTGGTTGACGTCTTTGAGCTGGTTTGCCTCTAATATCCAAAGGGAATGATATCCCATAGGTACTTTGCTATGTTTTTCGACTTTGAAATTTGAATTAGTTGAAATAATTAAGGTTTTAAGTTATGTGAAATGATCCCAATATGCGACAGTGATGACAGTGTTTAAAGTATTGCTTCAAGGATTTGGATATGTAGATTTACATTTTTTTTGTTGTCTCTTTTGATAGAGAAATCTCTGAGTTTTTTTTTGTTTGGGGGGGGGGGGGGGGGA